CCCGTGGACCCACATAGGAGTGAGGAGCCAGAACAACTGAAAAAAGGAGCCACTCAGAGGCTAGTGAGTCATCGCAAGCGACCGGCGCACAGCCCCTTCCACGGGAAGTGTTTGTAGCACAGGTGGTGGGGGAGACAGGCCCACCAGGAGAACACTGGGACACAGCAAGGACAGCTGATCTGCCCCCCAATCAGCACAGGACCACTCAGAGGAGACTGGTCAGGAATATAGAATTGCATGGGGTACAGTTTGATGAAAAGACTCAGGCCCAGGCCAGTGTTTCCACACAACCCAGGTGCACCAGATTTCACTGAACCTGGAAGTCCTATAAATTCAACCATTAAAACCTGAGCTGCACAAAAAGCCTTCCCGGGAGAATCAACTGCAAAGCATCAATTTAGCTCAACCACAGAGCTCAAGTACTGGTCCCCACAGCAAGTTGCCCCACTTTATAAGTAAGCAAAGGACAACAAATTAGTTCCAGTGCAGAGTTTAAGAGGTGGGAACAGCAAATAATCCAACATAGAACTGAAAGAAAAAACAAAGTACCCATAACCAGAGACAAAGTTTGATATTAACTAGTAACGTTCTCATTTCACCAAAGAACACCTATAACACCTAGAAGGACTGGAAGTTCCCTGGGCTACCAAGCCAGAAAGGCGGGACACCCAGGCACAATGCCAGCACCACGGGGCCTGCCCAGGGTCCAGAGGCACGGACCCTCCTCCCACAATCAGACACATGGCCGGTGCCAAGGAGCATGCCAAAAACATCACCTCCATGTGGGTGGCCCACCACAGCCACCACAATAACCATGGCTGCCATGAAAGCAGCTAGATGCCACACCCACCATGCAGGTGGTCTACCAGCCACCGGAGTGCATTGACACAAGGAGAGTCAGCAGCAGTGACGAAAGAAAAGAAGAGGATGTCTCTCTCCACAAAGCCCATTCCAGAGTGACAGAAGAAGCATCTGCTCTACGATAATATTGGGGGAACTGAACACACCTCTCAGCATTGGACAGATCATCTAGGCAACAAATGGACAGAGTAAACATTATTCTTTCAGAAGGAGAGAAGAAATCTAGGGAAATTAGAGGGGGGAGGGGGAGGGAGAGGGGGAGGGGGCAATACTGGAAAAGGGGCATAAAGAATAAGTACGATTTGTAACAATATATATGCTAG